CCCTCCTGCCCCCACCCCCCTGCACACAATCCCCCACCTTGCCCAGGCAGCCAGCCCCCAGCCCGCTCCTTGTCCTCTCATACATCCCACCTCCTCCCATCCAGATGCTGCGCTCTCATCCCTATCCCATTCAGTGGCATCTGTCCCACACACATAACCCCTCATTTTTGGCCCCACCCCAGAGCCTGGGGGGGGCACAAAATCCACTAACCCCCCAGAACAATAAATCTGGCCTGACGCCTTCAACCCCATCCTCCCTGTATCTCCTCCCATACGGGTCTGGAGTACCAGGGAAGTGAGGTGTTTCAGTTGTAGGGTTTTTTTGTTTTTTATTTTGCTTCTCACTTGTGTGTTCCCTGACTGATTCTTCTGTGGTCAGTGATCCCCAACCCAAAAGAGGTGCCCCATCCCTGCCATAAATCAAGACAATGTTGAAACCTTTGTGCTGGACATAATATTTTACTTTATTTAAAAACAAAGCTTGGCCAACAAGTCCCCAACTCGGGCCCAGCCCCCATCTGGCCATAGGATCGTAACACTCCTGCACCCCCCCACACACCAACCCTGAGCCCATCATACACCTAAACCCCGTCCTGAGCCCCTCATGCCCCAATCCCCTGCCATAAAACTCCTGCACCTCCACACACACAAACCTTGCACCTTGAGTCCATCATACACCCCAATTTCTTGTCCTGAGCCCCTAGTACACCCCAACTCAGATTCCTACACCCCATCATCCTCCTGCCATAAGACTGACAGAAGAAATCCTGGATGTATGCATGAAGTTGGATTTGACCAGTTATGATGTATATTTCAAAGAAATGTGTGAAAAGATGCAGCAGAAGTCCCATTAAGTAAAAGTCTGAGTACAATGTTTCATTTATACCATTATCAATCATGTCAATTATCAATATTATAACATTGTATGTTTTCAGTCATGCATATGGGCAATCTTATACAGCTCTTTGTTGACCTCCTGTTCTGAATTTTGACATAGTTTGGCTCTTTGGTTTGAAAAGGTTGCCAACCCATGGGTTACGTGGTTACTGTATTAGATGGTGAGTTGCAGTGTGGGGAAGAACACAAGGCCGAAGTAATGAAGTTATACTATTTTTAAGTCAGATAAACCTTTAATTGTATCTCCTTGGAAAAATCTGATAATCCAGACAAGAAGGATGTCCTAATGTTCAAAGTGCTAACCTGGGACTCAGGGGATCCAAATTCAAACTTTCTGCTCTGCTGCATACTTCTTCAGTAACTTTGGTAAAGTTACTATCTCTGTCTCAGTGACTTTCAGACTGAGAACTTTGAAAACTAATCATCTCCAGAATTAGGCCAATCATTTTTCATTTCTCACACTTCATCTTATGACTACCTTGGGCTAGAGGAAGCTGGATGGAGAAGATAGATATTGTTACGATACAGTAAGACCCATCTATTTGTCAGCTTCATGCTGTAGGAAAAGATGACTGTAGTCAGACGAGTCCTAGGCTCAACATGAAAATGCATCTTCCTCCACTTAAGAATTGGATGAACATACTGACAGATTGCTCTGAAAATTATACTGTTAGAAGCTCAAAGAGCTTTTTTCTTTATTTATCCTCTAGCCTAGGGCATCACAGGAGTGATCAGGAAGAAGAAAATCTATGACTGTCACAAGATTTATTGAATAGAAAGAACCAGTGCTAATTCAGCAGATTAGTTTCTTTTGGAATCTATGTACAGTAAAAGTGGTGTTATTTTGCACTTCACATACTGCCTCCAATAGCAGGTGCCGCCCCTGCAGCTCTCACTGGTTGTGGTTCCTGGCCAACAGGAGCTGTGGACCCAGCACTGGGGGGTCAGCACAGTGACCCTGGGTCCATTCTCCCTAGGAACATTGACAGCAGCCAAATAAAGCTACAGATTATGCCTGTGGAGAGAGGCACCTCGCAGAGCCACCTGGCCATGCCTCTGCCTAAGAAAAGAACGGTTACTTACCTGTAACTGTTGTTCTTCGAGATGTGTTGCTCATGTCCATTCGAAGTAGGTGTACGCACCGCATCTTCCAGAGAGTTTTCCCTAGCGGTACCAGTAGTGCCGGCAGGGCACCCCCTGGAGTGGCGTCGCCATGGCGGGGCATAAGTACCCCTGCCGGCGCTGCCCCACCTCAGTTCCTTCTTGCTGGACACTCCGACGAAGGGGAGGTAGGGTGGGAGTCGAATGGACATGAGCAACACATCTCGAAGAACAACAGTTACAGGTAAGTAACCGTTCTTTTCTTAGGCAGAGGCATGGCCAGGTGGCTCTGCGAGGTGCCTCTCTCCACAGGCATAATCTGTAGCTTTATTTGGCTGCTGTCAATGTTCCTAGGGAGAATGGACCCAGGGTCACTGTGCTGACCCCCCAGTGCTGGGTCCACAGCTCCTGTTGGCCAGGAACCACAACCAGTGAGAGCTGCCTTGCATCCTCCCTGGCCTGCTGAGGTAGCGCATAGTGTGTTGCAAGCGTCTGAAGGGAAGACCAGGTGGCTGCCCTGCAAATTTCTGTGATCGGTACCTGGGCACCAAAGGCCACCGAGGATGCCTGCGCCCTGGTGGAGTGTGCCTTCACCCTGTGTGGGGTTTTACCAGCCAGGTGTTAGCATTCTGTGATGCACTGCACCACCCATCTTGATAGCCTTTGCGTGGAAATAGGCAACCCTTTGACCCTGTCCCCGAATGCAATAAACAACTGTTGTGATTTATGGAATGGCCCGGTCCTATCAATGTAGAATGCCAGCGCCCGCTTGGCGTCCAGGGAGTGCAGAACCCACTCCTTAGAGGAGGCATGGGGTTTTCGGAAAAACACCAGGAGATAAATCTCCTGAGACAGGTGGAATGGTGATACCACCTTCGGGAGGAAGGCTGGATGAGGCCGTAGCCTTACACTGTTATTGGAAAAAACAAGGTAGGGCGGATCTATAGTTAGCACCCTTAGTTCCGACACCCTTCGAGCCGATGTAATAGCCACGATAAAGGCAACCTTCAATGAAAAGTGCAGCAGGGAACACGTGGCCAGCGGTTCAAAGGGAAGTAGCATAAGCCTGTGGAGGACCACGTTAAGGTCCCAGGCAGGAAGCGGACCCTCACCGAGGGGTACAGCTTTTCCAGGCCAGTAAAAAACCGTTTAACCACTGGGTTAGAAAAAAGGGAGACTCCTGCCATACCAACATGGAAGGCGGAGAGAGATGACACATGGACTTTGACAGAAGAGAAAGATAGGCCACTGGACCGAAGCTGGAAATGATAGTCAAGAATAGTTGGAATAGGAGCAGAGGACGGGTGTACTCCTCTCCGGGACGCCCAAGACGAGAAGCACAGCCACTTGGCAGCGTACGACCGTCTAGTAGAGGGTTTCCTGCTACCGAGGAAAACCATCTGAACCTCTTGGGAACATTCCCTTTCAGGTTGGTTCAACCACGGATAAACCATGCCATTAGGTGGAGAGACCGGAGATCCAGGTGAACCATGATCCCCTCGCCCCAGGGTTGAGTTAGCAGATCCCGGACTGGAGGGAGTGCTATTGGGTCCTGGACAAGCATGTCCACCAGGATGGGGAACCAGAACTGTCTGGGCCACGTGGGGGCTATGAGAATGATCGAGCACCGAAACGTCAATACCCTGGAAATTAGGGGAAACGGGGGAAAGGCATAGAGAATGCCCTCTGGCCACACGGTCGTCAGGGCATCCCCCAGGGAATATTTCCCCAGTCCCAGCAGGGAACAGTAGTTCCTGCACTTGGCATTGCTTGCCGAGGTGAACAGGTCTAGGTGGGGATAACCCCACCTGCGGAAAACCTGGCGGAGAGCAGAGTCCTTGAGGGTCCGCTCGTGGGCTCTAAAGGATCTGCTCAGCGTGTCCGCTAGCAGGTTTTTGCACCCCGGGAGGTATTCCGCTTGAGGTGTGATACCGTGCGTGACACACAAATGCCAAAGTTGCAGGGCCTTTTTGCAGAGGGGAGATGATCACGCCCCACCCTGCTTGTTGAGGTAAAAGACCGCTGCTGTGTTGTCCATACGAACCAGGATCCAGCGGGGGGCGAGCCTTGGCAGGAAGGCTTCGCAGGCTCGCCTCACCGCCCGCAATTCCTGGACGTTTATGTGTAGGGCTCGCTTGGAGGGGGACCAAAGGCCTTGAGTTCTGTGTCGCCCCAGGTGCGCTCCCCAACCCAGGTCGGACGCATCGGTGACCAGCGTCAGGGACGGGGGAGGGGTATTGAAAGGGACCCCACTGCGTACCACAGGTTCCTGGGTCCACCATAGGAGGGAGTCAAGAATTACTTTGGGCACCGTAATTGAGTCCCAAAGACCGCTGGACTGGCTGAAGGCCTTCGCCAACCACGCCTGCATGGGTCTCATCCGCAATCTGGCATGGCAGACCGTGTACGTACATGCCGCCATATGGCCTAGGAGCCTGGAGTAGACCCGAGGGGTTGTTATAGGAGACCGAGTTAGCCCCGAGATCAGCTCCACTATGGAGAGGAACCTGATCTTGGGCAGGGACGCCCTTGCCACCCTCGAATCGAGGAGGGCTCCCACAAATTCTATCTGTTGCGAGGGAGTCAGGGATAACTTCTCGAAATTTATCAGGAGTCCTAACCTTAGGAAAAAGGGCTCTTCTGAGTACCACGTGAGCTTCTACCTGCCCGTACGAGCGACTTCGGATCAGCCAGTCGTCAAGGTATGGAAACACGCGCACCCCTTATTTGCGGAGATATGCAGCAACCACCGCCATGCATTTCGTGAATACCCTCAGTGCCGTACATAAACCAAAAGGGAGCACCGTAAACTGAAAAATGGCATTGGCCCACCGTAAACCTGAGGAACCTCCTGTGGCTGGGTCTGATTGCCATGTGGAAGTACGCGTCCTTGAGGTCGAGAGTCGCGTACCAGTCTCCTAATTGTAGCACTGGGATGACCGATGCCAGGGTCACCATTCTGAACTTGTGTTTTACTACCGCCTTGATTAGATCTCAGAGGTCCAAGATGGGGCAGACCCCACCCTTCGGTTTGGGGACAACAAAATAACAGGAGTAAAAAGCCCTTCCTCGCAGCTGCAGAGGAACCTCCTCTATCGCTCCTTTTTCGAGGAGCGCAGACACCTCCTGACAGAGGATGTGTTCGTGAGGAGTGTCCCTTACTAGAGACAGCAAAGGGGAATTTGAGGGCGGCGAACCTAGGAAAGGGATAAAGTAGCCTCCACTTACAATGTTCAGAACCCAGGCATCTGAAGTTATTAAGGCCCAAGCATGGGCAAAAAGGATAGCTTGGCCCCAAACAGGGGCCAGGGCAGGAGATTGGTACGGGACTCTCGAATGAGGCATCAAAACTGAGGCTTGCCCTGATGGGAAGGACCGTGAGGACCTCCACGCTGGGTATCGGTCCTGGGGCGATGACGTTGACCCCTAGCCCCCTGAGGGTGCGCGGCCGCCCCGGAACCTCCACCGGAGGCCCGGGAACGGCGACTCCAGTAATCCCCACAGGGGACCTGGGGCTGCGCCCTTCCCTGCTGCCTATAGGGCAGCTGTCGCCGCTGCGGAGCCGGCGTGTGGATGCCCAAGGACTTTAGGGTGGACCTAGTGTCCTTCAGGGTATGGAGCCTAGAGTCAGTGTGCTCCAAGAACAGAGCTTTGCCCTCAAAGGGCAAGTCCTGAATTGTATACTGCACATCCGGGGAAATTCCCGAGACGTGGAGCCATGCCCCCCCACGCATAACGACACCAGTCGCCATCGTGCGGGCCGCTGAATCCAGTGTCCAGAGCCGCCTGGAGAGCAGTTTGCAAGATGACTTTGCTCTCTGAGGCAACAGCCGCGAACTCCTGACGGTCCTCCACAGGGAGTCTGTCTCGGAACTTTTTGACGGCCTGCCAGGTGTTAAAGGCATACCTACTCAGCATCGCCTGATGGTTTGCGATGCGGAGTTGAAACGCCCCCGTGGCGTAAACCTTACGGTCCAACAGGTCCAGCCTCTTAGGCTCCCTAGGAGAAGGGCCCGGCTGAGGGAGTCTTTCCTTTTGGGCCGCGGCCTGCACGACCAAGGACCCGGGGGTGGGTTGTGAGTACAGGTAATCATGCCCCAAGTTTGCGACGTAATAACGCCTCTTGACCCCTTTTAAGGTAGGGATCAAGGTTGCCGACGTTTGTCACAGGGCGTTGGTAATCTCTGATACCGTTTTGTTAAGCGGTAAGGCCAATCGTGCAGGCACATCTTCCGTGAGGATGTCCACCATTGGATCCGTGTCCTCGATAACAGGTTCCACCAAAACGGCCAAGTTGGCAGCCATGCGGCGGAGGAGGTCCTGGTGTGTGCGGGCATCCATTGACGGCAGACTTGAAGCAGGGTCTGCTAGTGCCTCGTCTGGGGGGGGGAGAGGGGAGGTCCTGGTGCGTGCGGGCATCCATTGAGGGCAGACTCGGTGCAGGGTCTGCAAGTGCCTCGTCCGGGGACGATGACGACGACGACGACGACTCCTGAAGTGGCACAGGAACAGTTGTCACCAGCTGCGGAGCCGTCTGAGTAGCTTGCGCTCCTGATGGGTCCACCTCCGGTGCCGGCAGTTGCGGTGCCGCTGGATCGGGTTGAGGTGCCCGGAGAGGGGAGGGAGGGGCTCAGGACAGGCACGCCGACGGTCAGGAACAGTGCCCTGAA